CGGCGGGCAGCTCAACAGCAGGGCGGCTCCGCCGGAGCCCCACTGGAGCCCACCACACGCAGACACACACACACACACACACGCACCGGCACACATGCGCACGCGCACACACACACACACACACACACACGCACACACGCACACAAACACACACACACACACACACACACACACCGCTGCAGCGCGCGGGGGGACGGCGGGCGGCCTGCTGCTCGCGAGGTGGGGCGCGGTGTGCGGCCGCGCGTCGAAGCTCCGAGAGACCTCGCGGGCCAGCGCGCGGCGGCTCCGAGGGGGCCCGCTCCGCCGGGAGGTGGCGGCCGAGGCGCCGGGCCGAGTCCGCCGCCCGCAGGGTCGTCGCGCCACGGCGGCAGCGCAGGGCCTCCCAGCGCGCCAACGCGGGCCAGAGGGGCCTCCTCTTGGAGTGTCGGTCCCGCAGGCTTGCCCGAGACGCGCGTGGAAGCTGCTGGCAACATTCGTCATGTTCCCTGGCCTCGCCAGTCAGACAGGTGAGCCAGGTGAGGAGACTGCAGCCGCCCAGGTCTTGTGTTGTTTTCACCTCCTCCCCCGGGCCTGGGGGGTGGGGGGGGGGTAGAGGACCGCTGGGGTTCGGTTGTGGGCTCGCTGGGGTCCGGGGGCTGGGTGGTCCCTGGGTGGCATGGCCTTCCCACGAGCGTGTCCACGGACCCAGAGTTGCCCCGTCTCCGCCCTGGGAGGCCACATCGTAGTCTATTCCAGCCCAGGAAAGCAGCGAGCAAGGGGATCTTGCTGCTGGCAGTCTGGGGGAGGGGGGTCCCCCCGAGGGCATTGCCAGCGCCAGGGCCGCAGACGAGCATGCCGGCATCTCGAAAGATGCAGCGAAATCGGTGGGGAGCTGCATGTGGACGCACCCATTGTGGCTTTATGTGAGGCTCCCTATGGTGTCACGAAACGTATGAGGTGTGTGCGTGTGTGCCTTAATTGGAGGGAGCCGAATGTGGACGCACCCACTGGGGGCTCAGGTGGAGCTCCCTTTAGGGGTGCGCCGAAATTGGGGGGGAACCGCTGTGGGCGCACCCACTGGGGCCTCAGGTGGAGCGCCCGATGGGCCGTGCCGAATTCGAGGCGGCCCGCCGTGCGGGCCCCCGCCCCGGGGCCGTCGGTGGAGCTCTCGACGGGGCCGCACGCCACGTGCGAGGGGTGTGCCGAGACAGGCGTGCGGGGGGCAGAGATGGGCGGAGGCGGGAGGGAGGAGTGAGGCGCGGGGGTCGCTGCGGATCCGAGGCGAGGCTCAGCAGCACAGGAGGCCGGGAGCAGAGCAGAGTCTGCGCTCCCCCTCTCCGCAGAGGCGTGTGAGCGTCGACGCTAAAGGGTGCGCGGCGAGAGCAGGACGGGCGCACACCGCGCGCGAACGTACGCAGCGTCGCTCTCGCCTCGGCGCCGCGCGCACCTGTTCTGCGAGTCGAGTTCCCCCTATCGGGCGCGGCGCGCCTCTGTCGCTCGGCAGCTCGTCGACGCGCGAGCGGGCGAGACTGCGGCTCTCGCCTCGGCGCTGCGCAAGTGGGTAGTCCTAGGGGTAGGCCCAGGTTTTAAGCCCAGGGGAAGGCCTAGGGGGAAGTCCCAGGGGGCAGGCCCAGGGCAGGCCTAGGGGGTAGGCCCAGGGGTAGGCCTAGGGGGAAGTCCCAGGGGGTAGGCCTAGGGGGTAGGCCTAGGGGGTAGGCCTAGGGGGTCGGCCTAGGGTAAGTGGCGTTCCCGCGCGGGCGCGGCGCACGTGTCGCTGGCCGAGTCGACGACAGCAGCGCTGGCAGCGGGGCCGCGCGGGAGCGGGCGGAATGTCGTCCTCGCCCAAGCGCCGCGCAGCTTGCGCGTGGAAGTGGCGGTGCTGCGCCAGAGAGGCGCGCGCTTCGCTTGCGCCGCGTTCCTCGGAGATTTGGCCGCCCGATCGACGGCCAAAGTACGTTTTCGCCGCAGCGCCGCGTGAGGATTGCCTGGAGTTTCGTGTCCGCCCGTGCGCGACCCGCGTTCTCTACCCGTCGCCAAGTCGTCGGAGGGTGAACCGCGCGCGTGGGTCTTCCGTTCCTTAGGTGCGAACGCATTCCAGTCCCAGTCTCAAGTTGTGCCACCGTTGACTATTGTAGTAAGGGAGGGGTGGGAATTGAAAAGGGCGGGGTCCGCTGGCTTGATCGACCTGGCTAACTTGACTCGCACTCCTACTCCTGGAAGCCAGGGATACTTCAGGGGCTAATAGCTGTGTTCCTCGTTTCGCAATTACACCATATGAATACTGTTCTCCTCTCTCCCCTGATGACGTCTGGAAGATATATGGCCCCCCACGGCGTATGTTTTTTGCACCGGATTCCTGGGAATTGGGTTTTCGCTTGGGCTTTCAAATGTTGTTCCCGCTGAAGCGCTGGCCTCATTTTCGGTTTTCCGCTTGTTCCGAATCGTGCTCCCGCTGCAACGCTGGACTCATTTTCGCGCTTCCGCTCGTTCCGAATCGTGCTCCCGCTGCAGCGCTGGCGTCATTATTTCCAGTGCCATGCCACGGCATGGTTTTCGGTCCTTCCAAATAGGCCCCAAAGTCTAGAAAATGCCCCCCCCTCCACGAAAAAAGATATCGGAAATGATTACACATTCGGTGCCGATTGTTTTCTTGGGGGCCGCAGAAGCCCCCCCAAACTTCGGAGCGTCGCCACGCCATGCTATGTCATTCTACGCGTTGATATTCAACGCCATGCTATGCCATGTAATGCTATACCATGCTACGACATCCGACTTTGCGAATAGAAAGGAGATCTACGCCATGGTAAGGGATGGGAGGGAGGGGTAGGACATCAGATATGACGCGAGCGCACCTAGTTTGTCTCCTCCCCCTCCCTCTTCCTCCCTCCATTCACAGTCCCCTCATCGGACTCCTCCCCACCTCAAACTCTTCCTCTCCTCAAACGTCCTTCCCTCCTCCTCCCCCTACCATCTCTCCATGCCTCCCTCTCCTACCTCCTTCGTCCGGAATGTATTCCCTCATCTTACTCCTCCTTCTCCCCCTGCTCCCCCTCCTCGTCTCCCGCCGTTTCCGTCTGCTTCCTCTCTTGCCGTTCTTGCTCTTCTTTTTCTTCCCCATCTTCCTCCTCGTCCTCCCCCTCCTCCTCTTCCTCCTCCTCCTCCTCCTCCGCCTCCTCCTCCTCATCATCATCCACATCCTCCACATTATCCACATCATCCTCATCAGCATCAGCAGCAGCATCAGCATCAGCAGCAGTATCAGCATCAGCATCATCATCATCACCATCATCATCATCATCATCATCATCATCATCATCATCATCATCATCATCATCATCATCATCATCATCATCATCATCATCATCATCATCATCGTCACTCCTCCTCCTCCTCCTCCTCCTCCTCCTCCTCCTCCTCCTCCTCCTCCTCCTCCTCCTCCCCATCATCGTCAGCATCATCATCCTCGTCATCGTCCTCGTCATCGTCATCATCACCACCACCATCATCAGCATCAGTAGAGCATCATCCTCCTCATCATCATCAGCATCATCATCGGCAGCAAAAGCAGCATCAGCATGATCATCACCACCACCACCATCATCATCAGCAGCATCATCATCAGCATCATCATAATCATCATCACCATCACCTCTTCTCCTCTCACGTCCCCCTCCACTGTCGAGCGCCAGGCGGCGTGTCTGGGTGCCTGCGCTTGTGCGGAGCCAGAGAAATACTGTTCCTTTCTCTGAGGGGGGGGGCGGGGGGGGGGGAGGGGGAGGAGGACCCGGGCGAGGGCGTCTGTCCAGGTCGGGGAGGAGGAGTGGAGGTGGAGCGGGGGCGGAGAGCGGAGAAGGCGTGGAGCCTTGGCCACTCGGGAGGTCACTGTGCGCCCCGCCACCTCACTCTGCTGCTGCTGTGACCTCCCCCTCCCCACCCAACCTCGGGGGAGGGCAGGGTCGTCAGGCATCGCCGGCCCGCCGCCGGTAGGCCACACGTTCGGGGGTAGCCCTTGGCACTCTGCTGTTGTAGGCACTCTGCCTTGCCACCGTTGGCGCACATCAGCACTCTCGGTATCATCTTGGGGCCGCGTTGTAGGCAAGTTCTGTAGCGGCAGTTTGTTGGGCTTACCGGCCCCTCGAATTCATGGCAACGCTAGCCCCCCAAATAATCAGGAGCTCACTGTTACCAGCGTTGGTGGTCGCACATCAGCATTATCATTATCAGATTGGGGCCGCGTTGCAGGCAAGTTATGTGGCGGCATTTTGTTTGGGCTTATCGCCCCCTCAAACTCATGGCAACGCTAGCCCCCCAAAAGAATAAGGAGGTCACTGTGCGCTCCGCCACTTCAAACTGCTTCTGCTGTGGCCTCCTCTTGCCCCCTTCGCAACACTTTGCCCTGCCCCTAGCCGAGGCAGCCTCCACCTCTTGCCCCCTTCAAACCCGATCACCCGCTCCGCCACATTACCCCATCCTCCTCCCCCCTTCGCAACACTTCGCCCCTGCTCGTCGGTGCCCCCCAGATGGTGGCTGCTGCGACCGCTGCGCGCAGATTGCAGCCCTCTAGGAAACCATTTCGAGGGTTGCCAGCGCGGGCTGGCCCCCATCTAGCAACCCCCACAACAGGCTGCGAGTCGGGGGCCCCCCAAGCAACGGGTGTCCCCCGTTAGCAATTCCTCTGTCTTTCTGGTCCACCGAGTATCTGTGAATGGCGGCCCGCTCGCAGACCTGGAAGGAAGGTCACCGATCCTCCTCCTCCTCCTCCTCCTCCTCCTCCTCCTCCTCCTCCTCCTCCTCCTCCTCCTCCTCCTCCTCCTCCTCCTCCTCCTCCTCCTCCTCCTCCTCCTCCTCCTCCTCCTCCTCTTCCCCATGTTCCTACTCCTCCCCTCCCCCTCCTCACCCATCGCCTCCTTTCGCCCTCATCCTCCTCTCCTCTCTCCTCCCCCTGCTTTTCTCCCTCTCCCCCCCCCCCCGCACCCCCCTCCCGAGGAGGATGATGGGAAGGAGGGGGGCCGCGGACTCAG